AAGGGCCCTTTTAAGCCCTTATAATATCTTCTAACAAAATCGTTTAAAACGTCACTACACACCAATCCTAATAAAGCCACAAACTTTGGCCTATACAAAATTAACAGGCACAAATTCGTCGAATCAAACTGAGCAGGGACCGAGTTGAGTTTCATTACAACTTGATTAAACTATTCGTAGGTCCTTTGACTAACTTGAGTCTGCGGCTTTGCCTACTTCGATTTTAGTTGTGACGTCATCACACACCTCACAATTTTATTAAAACACTAGCTTTTGCCCGCGGCTTCAGCCGCGTGAAATTTCGTTTGTCACAGATCGTCATAAATTATAGCCTATATGTTATTCTGGGTTATAAACAATAATGCTGTAAAGTTTCATCAAAATCCGTTCAGTAGTTTTTGCGTGAAAGAGTAACAAACATCCAGACATCCAAACTTTCGTATTTATAGTATTAGTAGGATAAAACTAGGGATTTCAGTCTGACGTCATGTTACATTGTTATAATGTTAACTCCCACTCTTTCTGGCTTGTTCGGAGACATCTAGTTTTTTGCAGGATCCCGTTTATAATAATTAACGTTCACATGTCCATCCCGTTTGCAGTGTCCCGCAAAAAACCGATATACTTCTTTGTTCCACAAAATTTTTAATACAAGCGTTTGAATCATTGAAACTGTTAAAACCTTTACATTTGACCTTAAAATGAGTAAACCTTTTGTAAAGTTATTGATTCGCGTTTCATATCGACAGAAATGATGCATGAGTGTATTTCAAACAAAAACATTTTTCGTCTTCAATTAGAACAGTCTTCTTTTTAAGGCTTTGTTAAATTAAGTCATAAGTACGTATTTTCATGTGCTTTGAACATTAAACCCTCTTAGTATCCTTGTCCTTCTTCTAAATTCCGTCTGTATCTAAATCAAATTTCACCATTGGCTTAGTAAATTTTGTTACATTTCTATCTTTGTTTGTCTTGCTTAGGTATATTTTTATTTAGTTACTTAAAATTATTTTGTTCTGTACTTTATACTGTTCAATGACTCATACTGAAGTTACTTCAGTATCCATAGTAATGTGTTTATGTGAAAGTAACTGTCTCACTAAACTACGTTATTGAAATATTGACAAATTGACTAAACAATTTATAAATTGGACCATAGTGAGAAAATTTAGAGGGAATCGATTTTATCAAGTTGGCGATATGAAGACTCATTTTTATAATTGTTTTTGAATGGAGAAAAGACTATTATAATTTTGTTTTTGAATAAAAAGCCGCAGAATCCAGTTTAATCCTATAGGCAGTTTATATGGATAGGTATGGTATGGATCCCATGGTAGAGTTGCAAACAAACATTCTTTGCATTAAAGCCTTCAAACAATACAAACACAATCCGATTCCGATCCCATGTTTACCGAAGGCAACGTAATATTTTTATGGCAGCGCTAAAACGCTCGAGCGGGATCTTTTATTCGGCTTTTTATATCCGAGATCTTGGGCGTTCGCCTTTTTGGTAAATATGGGTAATATTAAATTCAAAGCGATGTAACAAATTACAAAATGCATGATACTAAGGTCACTTACAAAACAATGATTAAAACTTGAATATGTCAGAGATGATGTCCTGCAGTTGATGTTGAAATGTAGACATAAGGCGCAATCTACATGAAATTAAATTTAATTTTGAGCTTCGACCTATACTTATTAAGCACGTAAGAATGTAATTTATTTAATGAAAATTCATTAAATAAAGTAATCAACAAAGGCAAGTAGATATGACAAACATTATTGACAACACAACAAATAAAATTACTCATTTATAAAAAGTAGACCAGTCTGCTTACTGGATGTTGTTTTATTCTTTTCAATTTTATATTTTGCGTCTTTTTTGTATTTCAATTACTCAAAACGAGAAGAAAACTTCTGAGCTTTTACCGTAGCTTTAAATTCAACGAAACCATTCTGTAATATTTGCCTAGACGTGTCCAGCGGCGTATTTTGTTAATGTACCTATGACGAGGAGCAAATAGTCGTGTATGTCAATACGCGGCCCGTTTAAATATTTAAACTTGAAAGATATATTCCGAAATGATATGTATTTAGTTAGTCTATGACTATCATGATTCAAACATAGTAACAACAACAAACAAGTATTTAGGTCAATAAATTACATATTGGCAATGACGTCACATTACATCTGAAATGACTGAAAATTATTTTCTTTATTTGTTAGAAGATCTTTTATTCTATTTGCAGATCTTTAACTTATAGGTATCAGTAATTAAATCAGTCTTTCCCTAACACTACCTTTTCAAGGCGAGAGTGAATAAGCACTTAGAGGGTATCTGCCCTGTATGTACCATCTTAGACTGCAGCATCTCACTTAACATAAAGTGCGTTTGCGGTAAAAATTACCTGCCTTGTACTACGTTAAAAAAATCATTTATAATCCTCATCTAAACTGTCGATGTATATTTTTGCTGTAGCTTTGAATGTAGGCCATGATTTCTAGTTCCGTCATTTTTAAACTTGCAACTTTTAAGTAAGTAATATTTTGTAGGGACTTTTAATTCAAGCTTTCAAACAAAGGTCTTTCGAATCGTATAATGGCCTACAGTAGCACAGCCCGGCCACACATTCGGCCTAAAGTTGGACAAACAAATCTTGTTCCTTTTAACCTTTTTACCTCGTCCAACTTTACTTCACGCCACACCGCGAGATTCTTCGCGCACGATATTTTTTAAAGCTACTACTTTAAAAACTACTTTTTTCTCAGTCATATTTGCCCCGACTGTATTTGGAATCTAACGAAGTCTTTTACTTTGGTTTTACTAAGAATTCAAATGCTCAAAGCGTTTTGTCGCCGTTTTGCGAAATGCATTTGAAATATCGGATTCATTTATTTATTACACCAATATTTTGATACAAATGTTACTTTAGTTAAGTGCCCAAACACTAATGAATGTTAAAGACATCGTGAACATTTTTTAATGAAAAAAAAATACGGCTTTCTATTTCCGTCTAAAGAAAACATTGATTTCCGAATAACATATTCAGCAAGATAAAATCTTTTACATACTTATTATTGAAAAAGCTAAAGACCAAATTATTCACACGACATCTTTCTAATCAATCAATATTAATAGCCGATAATAGAGTTTATAAACAAAATGTTAATGACGTTGTATCAACATTAGAAGATCACAATACATCATTAATAATTCAACGAAACTTTTCACAGATAATTATACATATATCATTTGAAAGAGATACATTGTTGTGTAAAGTCGAATAAGAATTTTAAGATTTAAAAGTGTAATAGATTATTTTTTATTCCAGTTAAAATGTAGTAAACATAAGTAGACTTAATTTTATACCAAAATCATTTATACATTATATGATCATGATATTTTTCGTACCATCTTGATCTAACAGCATTGAATGTACAAAATACTAAATAATAGGATGGCTTCTATCTACCACCATGTGATTTATAGCACTGAAGTCACCAGCCTAATATCATGCTCATAAGCCATCAAACAAATTGGTATTTCAATTTGTGCGACTCATCTGGGAATTGAACCTCGATTCAGAGAGCCTATCTTTCCACGATGATCTTACAACTACTGTTTTATTCATGAGTCCAATCGATAGAAAAAACTGCCGACACATAAGTAGCGAGTGTTAACGAAATCCAAATATTAGTTTCCACGCGACAAATTAAGACTAATGTCAAACGCAAAGCGACTTTAAGTTGAAACTAAGTCCTAATACTTAATGCAAGTACGATTTAACTGGAGACTAAGTGCTTGGACAAAGCAGCTATTAGCAGTGCGTACGCGACGAAATTAGACAATTTACGATCCTCCGATCTATTTGCTATACATTAAACGTCATAATTTCAACGCTAACATGGATTTGGCGCATGCAGATTTATGTCCTTTCGTAAAACAATGATTATTGTGATTGTAAATTTCTTTTCTGTTCAATAGTAGGTAGATATAGCTGATGCGAGTCATAATCATTTATGTAACAAGGGATTAATTTATTCAAGTATTAAATTGTGAATGATCGGATCGGAAAAAACATTTAATTATGATGATGATAAAACATCACAATATGTTTGACTCTGCTCAGTTTGTGAATACACAATTAAATCAACATAAGAAAGACAACATAATCAACAGATGATGAATGACGGTTTAATTAATTTTTTCTACTTTACTAGAGATTAGGATACAGCAGTGTCACATTTATGATCAACTATTTACTGACGCGCAAAACATGAGGAACTTAATAAATTTCGTCATAAAAAGTGAATGTTCGCGGCATTGAATCGACTAAAGCGTTTGACAACGTCGACCACCCATTCACAGGCTCTTAAACATCCATAACTCAAACGTAAAAACGTTTTATATGTGCAACATGAAGGTTGAATCAGGTAGAAGGTCCTGTGAAATGTATCAACACAGTGCAACTTTTGTATGGAACGTGCGAAGAGGGTGTCGCGCAAGGTGATGCGTTCGGGCCACTTTTTTAACACGTAAGATTTTTTATAATGTTAATATTACACGACGGATGTAGTGTTACGGTTTTATTGTTTAGACATTGTTGTGGGTTATTTCGTTCGCATAATTATTTGATCTTAACTGTACCATTTGTAACGAATCCGGTTGCTGTAGCTTTTTTAAAGTATATTTTTTCTAAATGGCAAATAACTAAAGAGGCACTACTTACACCATTAATAACATTATCGGTAGTGTACCTTTGTATGTGTCATATGTTTTCTAAAATGACTCTGTTGTCACACTTACAATCATGACAAGATACGCCTTGATTTATTTTAAAACTGTTGCGGTTGCATGGGTTTTCACACTTCTTAGTACTATATTTTTGCTCACTGTGATTTGTCAATAGCCTTTGCGTCACTGTTAATGGATTCTTTAGTAGTTTTTAATTTTTTTCGTGTAACTGGAAGACGTTTTCACTTTTTAGTCACTGACCTGTACTCGGCTCTCTGTGAGCCCGATCCTCATTGCGATCTCCTCCCGCATGAAGATATCAGGGTAGTGGGTCTTCGAGAAACATCTCTCTAACTCGTTCAGTTGTGCTGGTGTGAACCTGGTGAAACAAAATTATTGATTAATTGCTTGTCGAATTAATCGAATTAATGCCTTGAAACAACAAGCGAATCCACGTCCACTAGGCAATGCGTCTATGACTTATAACCTAGAGTATGTTATTTTGGTTCAGAGAAATGCAGATTGAAAAGTGATTGTATAGTTTTTGGCAGTTTCGTAAAGATATCTTTTGAAAATAAATATGGTAATTCCGTGCTTGCACTTCCATTGCTATTGGTCACAAACAGCCTAGTAGTAGTAAAACAGGTGGATATTATCTAAAACCTAATTTATACGAGGACTTATGCTGGCCAGAGAGGTTAAAAATCAATGGTTAGGTTTTATTAGAAGCCAGAGGGCTGACTATACGGAACCTTGTTGCAGTGATGAGAAAACTCTTTCTTTATCCCTTTATCATATAAGAAGAATTATGAGCCTTAATGTGCTGATACACAGACGGATTGTAAGCGGTTTCAAAGCGGAGCGGCGACGCGTCAAAGACGTGACAGAAGGCGAAAACTCTAGATGGAAACGTTGCGCATCCGTGGCGTATCAGCCACGTCGCCGCTCCGCTTTAAAAACGCTTCTAATCCGCCGGTGTGACAAGGCCCTTACCTAGTCCGATGCCTCTTTTGCTTGGTCGGCTTGTCGCTGTCTGACGCCGAGGAGGACATGCTGACCGGCACCGTCGCCATGTGCCCCCCACTGTGCTGTTGGTGGATGCCACCTGACAAAAACAATAAGTACATTATTATGGAAATTAGCATCAGGTGTAATGATGATTATTCTATTAAGTTTTTTTTTAATTTTATTTTATTGTTAGGAAAACAAACAGCATTCTATATACACATATAGAGTTACCAAATTAAACTTCACATATTTTGCCAAAAGAGTTTTCAGGTTTACGTAGTCTTGTCAAAAGCTTTTTGCTTTCAATATCAGATTGATTACTTTAAACATGACATTTATACAGTGGGCTGAGTGTGAATTTTCATAAAAATGTATGAAAATTTTCGTTTTTGAACTTTTGTAACGGCGCTGTACAATCCATCATACATTTAATGTTATTTGGTACTATCTACCTATAATATAATTTAGTAAATTGATAGTATTTTTCGCAGGCAATTATTATTCATATTCACTTCGATACATGTTATTGTTATGAGCTTTCGAAACGTACCAACACTACCAACCCCATACTATTATACACACACATTTCCGTGGAGTTTGACAAACTTTTAATGATTCAAAAGCCACCAAAAATCTAACTTACATCAAATAGAAAATACTCTTCGAGGCTAGATTGCAGTATCTTTTCAAAAAGTTGTGTCTTAGAATTGTATTATTAATGTGTTCCAACCCAGTCACACTGTAGCGTGCGTATAACATGACTGTGATGTGTGACTCGCTAGGAAAAAATCCATCAAGCCACACTCTGTTACTCTACTGCCAAATCGTATGAGCTTTACGAGCAATCCGAATACTAAACCAAATTAACACTCCAAAACGATCCTCCATTCCAATAAATCTTACAAAGCTGATCCATTGATGACCGTTCGATGACTCACCACTGGCGTTCCACTCTATTGACAGGGTTTTCACAAGGAGGTATGCTATGCCCATTGTAAATAGTATTATGATGACGTCAAATACTGACTACTGTTTTACTCAATCATCGTATGTAATCAATTAAAGCTGTTGACAGTTTGAATAAATTATGCGTTTTTAGATTGTGTTAAACTCGTCTATTGAATACATTAGTGTGACTGTTTTACATATGTTTAAGGATTGAATTAGGGTGTTTATAATAATTAGACGTATTTTCTTTAAGAACATTTCAATCTACTACTAATAACTTAATTAGTTTCAATTAATACGTGAGACGTGTATAATTTATTTCCAAAAAATAAGTTACTTTTATGATCTTTAGTGATATTATTATCCTGTATTTGCCATATACGAGTATGTATTCGTATAAATATCTATGTAATTATTTACCAAGGAAAAAGAAGCGTTTTGTAAGCTCTTGAAAAAATTATCGATTGATTAGTAGTGTGAATATTGTTGAAGGTCCAGATCCCCTAAACCCCCGTTCACACAGCCGTGAGTGCCAAGGTTCAGACCCTCTCATCCCCTGTCCACACGAGCGTGCGTACCTTTCAAGTGATCAGCCCGGAATTTGTGCGCGATGTGCAAGGCTCGGCTTGAACTCCGTGCGGCTTGCTGTCTTCTAAGCAGGAATCTTTGTGACCTAACCCTTTCATCCACAGCCCTTACGAGCGTGCATACCGCGTGCATACAGCCCTTACGACACCATAAAAGGCATAATTGCCTGGATGGATCATAACAACTTGAATATTAATTTAGATAAAACAAAGATAATGCAATTCACTCAAAGAAAACCGAAATTTAATTTAAACATAAATTATAACTCTGTTCCAATCGAAAATGTACATTCGATCAAGTTTCTTGGTGTTCTCATAGATAGCAATATGTCATGGGAATCGCATTCTATAGAAGTATGCAAAAGACTTTATAGATTCTCTTTTAAGATAAGGAGACATGTAAAGTGCCCCATAAGGGCTACCTTTTTCTTTTTTTATTATTTTCTATTGACGTTCATAAGTGCCACTTGTGGTCTAAACTGAATAAATATTTTTGATTTTGATTTTGATTTTTGATTTTTGCANTGGTCTTCATACAAATCATTGCACTAAATTCCCTACTAATTGCGTTGCATCGCAAGAATCATGGAAAAAACATTTTAACTAGCTTTTGCCCGAGGCTTCGCCCGCGTAAATTTCCTTTTGTGACAGATGTCTTTAAAATTACAGCCTTTTTATTTTTCTCATTTAGAAACAAAAATTTTATTAAAAACAACCAGTTCAGTAGTACAGTAGATTTTACATCATAAATGAGTAGGTCTTTATCTGACTGATCCCACTGAACTAATTATATTACTTCAATGGACTGATCCATCATTTCCGTACCTACTTTTTTGTGGATAACAAAAATTGCTGTGGCCGTGGATATGTTACGGTCAAAGTGATAAATGTGAAAATTATGAATAATCGCCGGTTATTATGAATTAACCGTAACAGAATACAATAAAGAATTATTTTTTTTGATAGCGGCAATCGAAATACACTGCGATTTGAAATCAACTTTCAATCTGTTGGCCATGTTTTACGTGATACAGGCCGGTGACAAACAGACAGCGGAATAGTCCCATCATCACCCTTTACGTAGGATATGGTTTCTTGTTAACTGCTTCTTAAAAAGTTATGCTACCACTTCTGTGCGAATATGACCCAATAATTTAGACCAGTAAGAACTCTTTTGAATGGCATACCAAACCAGACCAAACCCAAAATTTTGAATGTCATAGAGATGTGAAAGGGTAGGTAGAGATTCTCCCAAAAACCCTAAGAGAAGACTGAAGGTCTGGTGACTATTTCCACTTCTCGTTCCCACCATCATAACTTTTATACAGTCAGTGAAAGCCAAGTATCCAGGAGATAGTAAAACTGTCATTAGATTCGCAAAGGAATTAAGCAGAGGAGTTCGAAACTTATGAACCAAGGTAGCTCCATAGCTCCGAATTTTGGCAACTAAACGATTTCATGATGACAGCTACCAAGAAATGAAAATTATCTCCAAACTGACAAGCATAGTGTGCATAGAAAGACAGAAGAAGAATCATAAAAAACATAGAGGAGAGATCTTAAAGACAGGTGAGATACAGGCCAAGAGCTTCCCCGTTGGGGATAAAAAAAGACATCAGATCCTGAACGAGTCCATGATTACAACTAAGAATAGGAATTCTCTGACAGATATGATGTGCATGGCCCCAAGCTCATGAACTCACTATTTGAAGTAGAATCATGAGGGCATTTAGTGTCCACTGCACTAATTTAACAGCAAATGAAGGATTTGGCCTACACTCCCCACCCTGGCCACACGAGTTGAGGAGGCGGAAATAGGTTTAAACAAACAATATGCACACAAATAACTAAGAATCTTGGTGCTTTTAGTACAGGCTTTACACCAGTTGGTGCACTTGCACCGGCATCCTAGTTACTTAGCTAGGACTGCAAGCGAACAGCAATCGTCCTTTGTCGTAAACTTGGCGCATGGAACTGATTGCCATGGTGTGGAAGCTGCAGCAGGTATGCGTAAAGAAAATGGAGGCTAAGAATGGCGCAGAGGGGGTGTTGATTTATCAGCTCAGAAAAAAACTCTCACGAAATGTATATCGAGAATCAAAGGTGGCTGAGTTTTTTCCACTACTTCTTGTCAGCACCAGCCCATTATGTTGATCTGAAGTGGTGGTAGGGCAAGCTATATTTGGGACGTGAGTACCGCCCTGGAAATGGGCGTAAGTATTGAATAAATGATTTGATTTGAGTCCTTTTATTTGTATGTCCACATTCTGTCATCCTTTGTAACTTATGAGGGAATTCTAAAGGTTTTAAAAAGCTTAGCCTTATTAAAAGGCTTTTTTAATTTGTTTAGTGATTGTCCCAGTTTATTTGATTTTCTGCTGGAATTAATTACTCACACATGTGTGAGCTACCCAAGATCTTGATTTGTTAGGGTATGGATTAAATCTTTATATTATCTGAAAAACCTACTCTTCGGAAGCCTGAATGACCTGATGATGATGATGATATATATCACTGCTACTAAACTGCTCAGGTAGATTTTGAAAAAAAATCCTAGTTTATACTATTGCTGTTATCTTATTGGATTGATGCTGCAGTTAGAAAAATAACTTATTGGCGATACTGAGGAGGCTTTACATTCCTATTGCGGTCTGAAGCTGCCTCATGCTTTGTACTCTATCAAGGTTTAATAAAAAAAGAAGAAAAGTTTTTGTTTTTTTTGTTCTATGGTGTTATGGTGTTCCTTACCTNTTTTTCATTTTCATTTTACCTTGCAAGTGATCGGCCCTGATGTTGTGCGCGATGTGCAATCGCGCGCCCAGCGCATGGTGCGGACGCTCGAGGCTCGGCTTGATCTCGTGCGGCTTGCTGTCTTCTGAACAGGAATCTTTGTGACCTGAGAACAAGAATAACATATGAAGATCCCTTAGATATCCTTGGATGTGTCATTTGGTTCTACCTTCTAAATGAGTAGAGCTTTTGGCTTTTACCCGCCGCTTTTTGCACGTTATCTTGAATTTCAAATGGTCTCTGTATTGGTTCTAAATCAGTTCAGTAACAAATACCCAACAGTGCTCCTGCATTGATAGTCCGGTAAGCAAAACCTAGGCCAGAAGACCGTCAAATTGATAAAAACTGGTCAAATTTGGGTCGAACTGATTTTTGGTCAAAACATAGGTAGATAAATAACGCTGCATCAAAAGCACAAGCGTTGTTCATTTTAGAGTAAAGTTTTTTAGTGTGTACCTAACTACCTGTGTAGAAATTCAGAATAAGAATTAATGATCATAAAGTGGAAAGAATGTATTTCGATGAAAATAGCACCAACATAGTTTGCACTTACTCGTACCTACTAATCTAACTAATCTTCTTGTAAATTAAGTTCGCTTTTTACAAGTTTTTCACGCGGGCGAAGCCGTGGGCAAAAGCTAGCTGCAAATAATACTTCGAAATTATACTCGCATCTTGAAAAATAACATTAACATTCGCTATAACTAAGCGATATAAGGCTTTCTTTAGCAAGCCCTCAGCATTTCTGGGTTTTCCACAATGTCAGTATTCCCGGTACAAAGTCAAAGTTTTCCCATCAAACCGAGCGAGGTAACTGTTATGGCGACTTTATTTCTATTTCCTACAGGAACTTGACTTGTACGTTGTTTGGTGTTTATATAAAGATATATTTAGAATTAAATCTTATTCTAATTTTAGGAAATCAAATCAAAATCAAAAGTATTTATTCAGTTTAGACCACAAGTGGCACTTATGAACGTCAAAATTATTATAGAAAATAATAAAAAAGAAAAGTTAGCCCTTATGGGTCACTTTACATGTCTCCTTATCTTTTGGGCCCTCAGCGCTTCGAGACAAACATATGGCAAGTCCTGAGAAGAAACGCCGGAACAAACTCAGTCACCACTAATTGCCGGGAATTATCTAACGCTAAGAATAACCAAATTCGAGTACATCAAATATGTGCACATTATGTGGAGGTGAACATATCAAAATCCCCGCGGGGAGAGGGGGTTTGAAGGTACCATTTTTCGGTTTTTCGCTTAATCCTCGGAAACTATGCGTCCTAGTGATAAGACTAGTATGAACCAAAAAAAGCTTATTAAATATTCTACAGGTGAGATAGTCAAGTTTTTCCATATCTTATACATATAATTTTCGAGGCATCTGCTCTCTGCATAAAGTCCCGAAGTCAGAAATTGTGTTCCAGGCATTTCTCTCAACACCATCATTAACACATTCATTGACTGGACTATTTGTAATTATTTCAATAAGGTTTTCCAAAAATATTTAAGATTATTTAGTTGTGTTTACAAAGTCTTAAAATTAACACTTCAAACTTGAACATCTTAATTCTTTAATGAACAAGTGTGTTAAAAAGTTAAGCTAGGTATTTTCATTGATTAATTAATAAACCTAAAACTGAAAATAATCATTTCTGAAAAAAGTAGCCTCGACAATAAAATGGAATTTCTGTAACATATTACATACATTTTTTAAATCATCAGAATATTTTTCCATAATTTTTTTGGTGCCTAAAAGACAGGTAGAGTCGATTCTAGTTCCGTGAATTCTATTTCACTAGAGCCCATCATCATCATCATCAAGAAAAAAATTTCAGAAAATCACATGCTTTAATAGGTAGGTTTTTAGGGTTTCGTAGTCCTAACAAGGAACACTTATAGTTCTATATATATGTCTGTCTGTCTGTCCGAGGTTTTGCTTGGAAACTATTGGCACTAGAGAACTGTAATTTTGTAGAGGTATGTATATTAACCTAGGCGTCCCCCCACCCCTTTAAAAACTAAACTGTTGGCTTGAAAAATCTGGGAAAATTCGTAATAATACTGCTTTTCATGAACTTTCAAAGAAAACTATAACGGTTAAGATACATCAGTTACAGTTTGTAGTAATAGTCATTGAACTCATGTATTATAAAATTTCTTAACTATTAGTAAAATTCCTTAGAATAAAATATTAAATGGGACTTTAGATGAAGTAATTTTCTTGCTTCTGAACTGAAACATATTGTGTTAACGACGGACAACTACGGAACCCAGCGCGTGGCACGACACGCACTTGGCCAATTTTTTATCGATCTTTACGATATCGCGGAAAAACACTAGTAACAATATTATTTATTTTCTCTCTTCTATTATCTACATCAGCAGAGTAAACACGCTTACATCAAATCAAATAAAAAGTATTTATTTAATTTTGACCAGTATTTTGGAACGTATTTATTTTATTTAAATTTAATAACTTAAACAAAATAATTTAATTAATTCGGTCTCTACTTCTCCAACTTCGTATCGTATGCAGCAAAAATATTTCATGCTTAATATTAAAAGGGTGAGAGATAAAATATTTGGAAAACTTCAATAGCCTTTACACAGAGTGGGCCAAATTTTTTGTTAATAGCAAAACTCGATTTTTCAAAAACGGTTCGAGGTAGGGAATTTTAGTCACAATAGAGCGCTTTATGAAACGACATCGTGCTTTTAGGGGTAACACTGAGAACACTTGATACTTTTTTTTAAATCACCTATTTTTAACGCTATAAGTGTTTTCCAAAAAAATATTTTCTCAAAACCTATCAAGTGAGGTATCAAATTAAAGGTGTATTATATTTAAAACTTAACCTTAACCTATTAAGCTATTGCTTGGAAAAAAATTGGTTTGTTTCTACGAAAACTAGAAAAAAATCCTACGGAAAAAAAATCCCGAACGCGCTCCAAATACATAAAATGTTGAAAAACTTAAATAATTCTTCTGAATTTCAATAGTCATGGTTGAAAGTGTTCACAAATGCAGTCGGATGCATGTCAAAATTATTTTATTATAATAACATAACTATTTTTTTCTCACAGCAAAAACCACCCCTAACTAACAGGCATCATTTCCAAGCTGAGCTTAAGTCGCGTCTCATAAACTGGCGTTAACGGGCCGCGGTGGAGCCGGCCCGTAACGATATAAACAATGGTTTGAGTTTAGTTTTATGGTATTGCGTTGCACCGCAAGAATCATGGGTAAAATGTATTTATAACCATAGAATTATAATGTCTGGAAAGTAAAAGATACCTCGTAAGCGCCAGAAAAGTAGGTAAGTCTGAAGTGAACTAAACCACGTAAACGAACTGGAGGGCACATAGTATGCAGAATCGACGGCCGATTGAGCAGCAAGGTTTTGGAGTGGAGGCCATGTACCGGAAAGCGCAGCGTAGGACGTCCACCCACAAAGTGGATGGCGACCTCATAAAGGTAGCAGAAAGGCGCTGGAAGCAGGCCGCTACCAACCGGCCTTTGTGGAATTCATTAGAGGAGGCATATGTTCAGCAGTGGACGTACTATGGCTGAAATGATGATGAAACTAGACCACTGGCTTAGTCTTTCCCATACACTCAGTTGACCAAGTCAAGCACTAGCGAAAAACGTAAAATGACGATGAATGACATTCGTATGATTTTTGCTGCACTTTAATCGCTTGTATGAAGACTATCCATCTAGGATCTAGGTGTTATTAATCTAAGTTTTTAACTTGCTTTGGTCCAGCTTAAGTCGCGTCTGATAAACAGGCGTTAACGGGCCGCGGTGGAGCCGGCCCGTAACGATATAAACAATGGTTTGAGTTTAGTTTTATGGTATTGCGTTGCACCGCAAGAATCATGGGGAAAAATGTATTTATAGCCATAGAATTATAATATCTAGATAGTAAAAGAAGCTAAAGAAAAGTGAGGCACTCCAAACTAGACCACAGGCTAAGTTTTTACCATTCAAGCACTAGTGAAAACGTAAAATGACATTGGATGACATTCGTATGATTTTTGCTTCACTTTAAAGATCATAGCAGACTTACGTCCGTATTCACAAACGATACTTGCTTATGTGAAGCAGAAAATCGAACGCACAACGTTGAATAGAGCTCTGTGTTTGGTTCGTGTGTCACCGTGTGCGTTCACATTTGTGTTGATCGCTTTCCAAGTTGATAGGTGAGGTACGTTCTTTAGTAGACGCGCTTTTATATGAAGACATCCATTAATAAATCTAAGTTTTTGACTTGCTTTGGTCCAGCTTAAGTCGAGTCTCATAAACTGGTGTTAACGGGCCGCGGTGGAGTCGGCCCGTAACGATATATATAACGGTTTGAGTTTAGTTTTATGGGATTGCGTTGCATCGTAAGAATCATGGAAAAAACATTTTAACTAGCTTTTGCCCGAGGCTTCGCCCGCGTGAATTTTCTTTTGTCACACATGTCTTTAAAATTACAGCCTTTTTATTTTTCTTATTTAGAAACAAAAATTTTATTAAAAACAACAGTTCAGTAGTTTTTGAGTGAAAGAGTAACAACATCATCACGAGATTTTACATCATAAATGAGTAGGTCTTTATCTGACTGATCCCATTGAACTAATATTATATTACTTCAATGGACTGATCCATCATTTCCTTACCTACTTTTTTGTGGATAACAAAAATTGCTGTGGCCGTGGGTATACAATAAAGAATTAATTTTTTTGATAGCGGCAATCGAAATACACTGCGATTTGAAATCAACTGTCAATCTATTAGCCATGTTTTACGTGATACAGGCCGGTGACAAACAGACAGCGGAATAGTCCCATCAGCACCCTTTACGTAGGATATGGTTTCTTGTTTACTACTTCTTTAAGAGTTATGCTGCCACTACTATGCGTATATGACCCAATAATTCAGACCAGATATGTATTTTGAATGGCATACCAAACCCTAAATTTTGAATGTCATAAAGATGTGGAAGGATAGATAGAGATTCTCCCATAAAGCCTGAGAGAATACTGAAGGTCTGTTACTTTAAACAGGCAGGTGCCTATTTCCACTTCTCGTTCCCACCATCATAACTTTTATACAGCCAGTGAAAGCCAAGTACAAGTACCCAGAAGATAGTAAAACTGTCATTAGATTCGCAAAGGAATTAAGCAGAGGAGTGCGAAACTTATAAACCAAGGTAGCTCTATAGCTCCGAATTTTGGAAACTAAACGATTTCATGATGACAGCTACCAAGGATGAAAATTATCTCCGAACTGACAAGCATGATGTGCATAGAAAGACAGAAGAAGAATCATAAAAAACATAGAGGAGAGATCTTAAAGACAGGTGAGATGCAGGCCAAGAGCTTCCCATTTGGGATAAAAAAAAATACATCAGATCCTGATCCATGATTACAACTAAGAATAGGAATTCTCTGACAAATATAATGTGCATGGCCCCAAGCTCATGAACTCACTATTTGAAGTAGAATCATGAGGGCATTTAGTGTCCACTGCACTAATTTAACAGCAAATGAAGGATTTGGCCTACACTCCCCACCCTGGCCACACGAGTTGAGGAGGCGGAAATATGTTTAAACAAACAATATGCACACAAATAACTAAGAATCTTGGTGCTTAATTAAGTACAGGCTCTGATTGCCATGGTGTGGAAGCTGCATCAGGTATGCGTAAAGAAAATGGAGGCTAAGAATGGCGCAACTGAGAGGGGGTGTTGATTTATCAGCCCAGAAAAAAACTCTCACGAAATCTATATCGAGAGTCAAAGGTGGCTGAGTTTTTTCCGCCATTTCTTCTTAGCCCATTATTGTTAAACCTTTGTTTGTCACCTGTCATCGCTTTGCAATGGAGGGAAGTCGAACCTTAATATCGAACTCCTCCTATGTTCTTCTGATTAATTTCGTTGCGGGTCCAATGACAGTTTAATTTCCCCCGGGACAAACTTGACCTTCATTGTTTTTTTATGGCGGTCAAGCTGTAGATCCTGGCTACACAGGAGTTGCAGTGGTGGGAACGAGAGGTGGGAATAGTCCCGTAGCCCTTTATTGTCCCGAAGTAGTGGTACGGCAAGCTATATTTGGGACGTGTGTAGCGCCTTGGAAAGGGCCTATAAGTATTGAATAAATGATTTGATTTGGGTCCTTTTATTTGTATGTGCACATTCTATCATCCTTTGTAACTTATGAGCTAAGCTTATGAGGGGATTCGAAAGACTTTAAAAAAGCTTAGCCTTATTAAAAGGCTTTTTAATTTGTTTCAAAATCAAAATCAAAAATATTTATTCAGTTTAGACCACCAGTGGCACTTATGATTCTTCCAGTTTAATTGATTTTCTCACACACTAAACTCACACAGAGTTTCCCAAGATCTTGATTTGTTAGGGTTTAGGATATGAATTTAATCTTTATCCTACTATCTGAATGGAATACCTACTCTTCGGGAGTCTGAATGACCTGACGATGATGATGATATTACTGCTACTACTGTTCTGGTAGATATTGAAAAAAAATCCTAGTTATACTATTGCTGTTATCTTATTGGATTGATGCTGCAGTTAGAAAAAAAACTTATTGGTGATACTGAGGAGGCTTTATATTCCTATTGCGGGCTGAAGCTGCCTATGCTTTGTACTCTTCCAATGTTTAATTTTGCAAAATTGTGCAAATAAATATTTGAATTTGAATTTGAATTTGAAATTTGAATTTAGTAAAAAAGAAGAAAAGTTTTTGTCTTTTTTTTCTATGGAAGAAAAGTTTTTGTTTCTATGGTGTTGCTTACCTCCTAAAGCTGTCGCCGTGAGGTTGTTGAGCATGGCCTCAAAAGGCCAGCCTTGGCCGCCCCCTATGCCGACATCTTCACCGACAATCCACCGCAAACCACTGTCAATATCCGCAACCAACACTTTAACCTACACTACAACACTTCAACCATCAAATTACTGTCCGATTCCCGAACCCCAACACAGAAAACCAAAAAACATCTTAACCAGTCAATCACTATCTCAAAAAATTCCTCGAACACTCACAAGTAACGTCAAAAAGGACAAAATACCAGCGAAAACCCGCCTTAATACAAAATAATTAGCGCTATATTATACCCAATTAGGTTTAATTACGACTCCGTTGAAACTTATTTACACACTTAATTTTTGTTATAAAATTAATATAACCCGTTTAGTATCAATTTGTATAAATTTGCAGTTTGATTGGTTCGCCCTTAAAATGATCGTTTAATGTGAAAACCGACGGTCGACTGGTACAAAAACAGATCCGCTAGCATTGTTGCCGGCCTGGCCACGGGATCGCCGCGGCCAAAACTATATCTGTCTCTGTCCCCCCCATGGACTTCCCATAAGCATTCTCGCGCGCCGCTCAGTGCATCAGTAATAGATGCTTACATTTTGTTTACGTTCGATTTGAACAAACGAATAATCTATTATTTCATTCGTGCACGTATTATTGATACGGACCTTTCGCGTTCATGCAATATTCATGTACCGACACACGTATATCCGTCTCATTCTTATCTACGCGTCCCACGTCGTGTTTGAATGGTTCTGTCTCTGTCAGCGGTGGGTTTTGAATATCGAGCGCGCGGACGCCGACCAATGGGAGCGCAGAGAAATCACTTTGAGCCGAATAGGGCTGGCTCGCGCGTCACGATATTGAAATATTATTGCTATATCCTCCGCTAGGCGTTCCGTTCTTTGTAATGGAAAAAACAAATACAGCAGCGGTATAGGCGCGTATAGCTGCGAGTAAATAAGAGTACTTGAAGCGGATCGCTGGAAATATTTCAGAGAGAGAAACGAAACGTCGCGGGCTAAGTGCGATTTCTTGTAAAGCGCCTTCAATTTTGGACATTGTTGAATAAGGAATGCGGTATTGGGAGGAACGGACCTTTTTTCGTTTGATTAAGTTTGTTTTTTATTTGAATTGTTTGTCTATTTTGATCTACATTGGATGCAGGTGAATCGAACTGTGAACAAAGCTTCATTGCTACAAAGTTTCTCTCAAGGGACTCATCAGAATTACAACTTTATACGTATTGACATCCTTTATTTATAATTTTATTATTCTTATTGTAATATCCTATACTATTATTTGATACAAACTGCATTTTCGAATGTCACTTAATTCTGCAAAAAAATTAGAGTCTGAATGATACTTCCGAGAAAAAGCTTTCTGAGCTTTTTCTTATTTTGAATAGTTTTAAATAATATGAGCACAAATTCAAAAGGTATCACAGTTAAAATTATTAACGATTTTGTAATGAAATAAAAACCAAGCGATTTTCGAATTAGAACTATTAGACGCTATAAAAATTTATACAACTATGCTCATATTTTATAAATATTTGATAAAACACAGTCATGTTTAAAACTTAACAATTAAATTATCAAAACTTGGTCCTACTTGACTCTCATCATCATCATCATTTCCAGCCACAGGACGTCCACTGCTGATCATAGGCCTTCCCCAATGATTTCCACTATTTGACTCTACGGGACATAAAACCCAAACCTCGACTCTGAACAAACCGAAAACAATGCATCTACATAAACTAGTTAGCTATACAACAACGCAATATCGTGCCCACCCCACCCCCACTAGGGGCGATGGAATTTAATTTGTGCCTCCTCCAAACTTATGAAATTCCTTTCGAATGAACGTTTGCGAGCCTTGTGAGTGCAGCAAAGAGGTTGGGACTCTTCAGGTATAATTCAAATGAGTAATGACAATTTAATCATTTTGTAAGTAAATAGAAAATGTAGAGTCTGGAGCACATCAGTCATTTAATAAAGGTAAAAAATGTAAAATCTTTGGCATATGTTGGAAAATTCAAGTCCATAAAGTTCGGTCCGATATGCCAACGATTAAATTAAACTACTAGTATTAAGTTTATTTAAACGTAATAGGTACAATTAATACTCTCACCAAAACAACCCAAAGTAAATTGATTGGTATTCGACCAATATTTAGGAGTAAGGTTTATAAAATCTGTGCTACTAAAGCTTTATAGCTCCTTCATCGTCATCATCATTTCAGCCATAGGACGTCCACTACTGAACATAGGCCTCCCGCAATAATTTCCATAATAATCGGTTGGTAGCGGCCTGCGTCCAGCGCCTTCCTGCTACCTTTATGATATCGTCGATCCACCTACGGTTTAGCTGCTTGAATAAGTATTACTTATTTGTTAAGTAATACTTACGCTTCTACGAATGCTCCGTAGATGCGTGGAATATACGCACTTATGCGACTACGAAATGACTTTCTCCGCAGTTGCTACGAAACTACTACGAGTTTACTACGAAATCTACCCCTTGCTAAATTATTGACCTCATAAAAAGCACTGCTATTTTCAATGACTACGAATGATCTAAAAATCGATGTTAGCGGTTTCTGAAAACTACTATCTACTATGCTGAAATAAATTATCTAGTTTTGTTAAGATATTATTATTAACGCTAAAGTAATTAAGGGCGTTGAATGTTTTTCTTCTCACACAAAAACTGTTGGAAGAATTTTCACGAAATTTCCAATAAATAGCACCTCAAAATTTTACAGCAGAGGATCACATAGGAGTACCTCCTAGTCATATTACTTACAAGTATCTAAGCGTACTTGACGCGGTCAGGGAAGAAGTTAACATAATAGTGATAATAGTATTAATAATTTTATACACCGAATAGTTTGTCTTTATTTTTTTCTACTTTGATAATCCTACTAATATTATAAATGCGAAAGTTTGGATGTATGGATGTTTGTTACTCTTTCACGCAAAAATTACTAAATGTATTTTGATGAAACTTTACAGTATTATTGTAAACCCAGAATAACAAATAGGCTATAATTTATGACGATCTGTGACAAACTAAATTTCACGTGGGTGAAACCGCGGGCAAAAACTAAAATCTATATTTATTTATCCATGTCAGATTACCAGTCTCGCCGTAAACCACTACTAGTCTACATCACTTCAAGCTAACACTATAGAATCTTATGTACATACAATAGATGTTACATTACAACAACCATATAAAATCTAATGTACCAGCTTCACCTTCATAGAGGAATAAACCGTGAAAATTCAATTTGAAATTCCTTACATTTCACCTGGAGGGGGGAAGGTTTGGGGGTGGGAGGAATGCTGGAGGGTTGCCTAGCGACGGAGGAGTACAAGAGGCTGTATGGAGGCTATGGTTCTGCAGTCCAACTTATGAAAAGCATTTTGTTTGTAGATACATAATACAGGGTGGAATTTTGTAATGTCAACTGAAGAGAAAGTATCCTTAATACTGTAAATAGAAAATTTTACTCAAAGAAACCATCCTTCATTTTTGAAAAGGAAAAGAACTACTTTCAAAGATTTCCAAAATTTTTTCGAAAGTTCACCACCATAGCATAACATTTTCTGTAAATAATTAAAATAATTTAAGATTTCATGGTTTTCCTTTCATTTAATTTATTAAGTTCGTTAGAAAGATTTCATCATTATACTTAACCAACGATCGATGCAATAAAAATACAGGGTGTAATTTTTAACAGATTTTAGTTGGTTAGAATCCCGGGTGTAGCAAGCAATTTTTTGGAAATCTTTGAATGCAGTTCTATTTCTTTTCAAAAATAAAGGAATGTTTTCTTTGAGTAAAATTGTCTATCTACAATATTAAGAGTACTTTCCCTCCAGGTGGCATTTCAAAATTCGACCCTCTATAAAAGGCAGCCGTAAGACTCTAACGGGGTGTCATAGACTACGGACTTTTAGTCGGCCGATTAGTTTGGTCGGCTTTTAATTCGTATGAGGAATTGGCTGATATCAAATCGGTGTATATTGAGTATGGGAGGCCGAGGAGAGTTTTAACAGAGTAAAGTTGTGACATTATCTATTTTCGGAAACCTATTAAACGCGAGCTCGCAACAGAGCGAGCGAGCTCGAGAACTCACTAGTAGTTAATAAGCTCCCAAAAATCGACAATGTCACACCTTTCCTCTGATATTACTCGCCCCGGTCTCCTNGTTTCTTGCACTGTTATGTTGGCAGGTTTGACTTACAGTACCTAGTGCAAGCGAAAACCGACACTAAGGTGACGAACCTTTTCATTCCGCGACTGTACATACCTACTATAATAGGCAGCCGTAAGACTCTTATGGGGTGTAGTCGGCCGATAGTTTGGTCGGTTTTTAATTCGTATGAGGAATTGACTGATATAAAATCGGTGTATATTGAGTATGGGAGGCCGAGGAGAGTTGTAACAGAGTAGAGTTGTGACATTATCGATTTTCGGAAACCTATTAAAAGTGAACTCGCAACAAAGCGAGCGAGCTCGAGATTGAACTCACTAGTAGTTAATAAGTTCCCAAAAATCGACAATCTCACACTTTCCTCTGATATTACTCGCCTCGGTCTCCTNGGTCTCCTCTACTTCCATATAATGTTCATAAAATCAAAGTCAAAGTCAAAATGTCTTTATTTGTTTAGACTAATAAATAGTACTTACAAATCGTTAAATATTTTGCTCTTAAGGAGCCTTTACATGTCTCGTAATCTTTTTACCCTACCAGCGCTGAAACTGTCCGACCAAACTATCGGCCAAACAGTCGGATGATTTAACTCTTCAAAAAGGCCTCAGAATAGAGGCACTACCTCGACAATTCCTCAAATATCAGGTCCCTGAACTACTTTTTAAATCGGAAAACAGCTATTAACGTACCTAGCTGAGAGTCAGTATAGAGAATATGATGGATTTTAGAGCATTTTAAAACGCATTTTTTTTGGCTGCCANACTGCGACCGGCAATTTCAGGCT